GCTGTCTCTCCACCCTTCTAAGAATGATGTCCCTCTCCAGGGACTGGTCCCTCCATGCAACATGCCCAAAGTATGTCAGACAAAGCTTCAGAATCCTTGCCTCCAAGGAGAAGCCTGATTTCACCCTCTCCAGGAAAAACCTGTTTTCTCCTGGCATCCATGGTATACTCCCTACTCTTCTCCAACACCACAACTCAAAGGCATCAATTCTCTATCATCCCTAGTCATTGTCCAGCTTTCTAACACATGGCAAGAAATTGTGAAGACTATGGCCTGGATCAGGTACACCTTAGTGTCCAGATGGGGAGTCATTAGGAAATATAAGTTATATAGGAGACTAGGTGGGTTTTAGACAGGGGAGGAGGTTCTGAATTTTGTTTTAGACAACATAACAGTTTTTGCTGAGTACAAACCCCGTAAAACTTACTGATTTGACATCAGAACCACTTGTTAGCTCACTGTCAGTGGGTTGAAAATCTGGATCTGGTCTTGTCTGGGAAGTTCTTCTGGTCAAGGCCAGTCTCAGTCTCAGATGAACTCATGCATGATGCACTCATGGATTTCCAGATGTTGGAGGTCAGTCAACCTCTGGCTCTGTTGAGGCACCTTCATCTTGCTCCATGTAGCTTCTTGTCCACCAGCTGGCTAGCTTGTGCTCGTTACCGTGGTGGTCAGAGTCCCCAGTTCAGTAAGAGAATGCAAGCTTCAATGTTCAAGCACTTCTTACTCCTCTGTTTGCATGATATATGTTCATGATCAGTTGGCCAAAGTTTAAATCACACGACACACCCAGGATTGAAAAATAGACTCTCCTCTTTATGAGAGGGTGAGATTTGGGCCATTTTAACCTCCTCAATATTCCACAGATATGGTGACCTTAAAATGTTCATGAGTCTTCTATGTAGAGTTGACCAGTTGTCATTTGGGTGATGAGAGAAAGATGTGGGCTGGAGGTCAGATATGGAGACATTAGTCATTCATGTTGATGTCTTGAGAATGCATACACATTTTAATAGCTTTATCTTCATTGGGAATTTACTTAATGCATTAAGTACTTACACTAAAGAAGGATTAGTCTCAACTGTGCTGCAATGCTGAAGGCACATAGTTCGAGGCCACCAGCCGCTCCATGGGAGAGAATGGGCAATCTCCTCCCATGCGATTAATTGCCTCTGAAAACCTGCTGAAGGGTCAGCTATGGGTCAGTTCTGACTCAACAGTACACAACAACAACAACATACACTCATACATGTTCACATATGCACACACATACACTCACACATACACACATGACTTACTACACAATCACATATACATAAACACATAACCCTACCCATTTTTGTACCCACAGAGGTCAGATCAGAAGTGGAAATGTCTCCTCAGGTTCCCCAGATCAGCAGCTCTGGAAAGCCGGTGGTTGGGGTGAAAGACAAAGAGTGAGCTCTGTGACAGCCTATTAACTGAGGCTTGGAGCAACTACTGACCCCCAGCAGGGACCGCTTGCTGCTACACTCAGTTGTTTTGAGAGCAGCTTGGAGCACTCAGGAGCTCCAAGTTCTAGAATTGCCATTGTGGAATAGAGCGCCAATGATTAGTAATCAGAAAGCATAAAAGTGAAAATTATTTCCCTCAGTTAGATTCCTGAAAGTGGCCCGTGGCTGTTCTCACAGTAGAAGTGCCCCTGATCTCAGCTGGCCTCTTACAGCTGCCTCAGTGGACTGGCCCCCTTACCTCAATGCCAGCATCATGCACTTTCCTGTCTCAGGCAGCTAGAGCTGTTCTCTAGCTTTGTGAACACCTCTGCAGGCCCAGGATTCAGGGTAGCACCTGTCTAGGGGACTTCTGCTTAGAGAAGCTTCCAGAATGGCGATGAATTATAACACCTTCCAGGAAAGCTACGGCTTGGCATCTTTGCAACTAACTTCCTCACCCCGTGCCTGGTAGCCACTAGATACTCTGGATGTGTTGACATCCCAGCTATTAAAGGAAGAAGTCTTGAGGGTGAAACCATGACTGCTAACTTAAAGGTTGGAGGTTCAAGTCCACCAGGAGATGACTTGAACCAAAGACCTGATTATCTATTTTTGGAATATCGGTTGTTGAAAATCCTCTGAGCACAGCTCTATTTTGGCACACATGGATCTGCCGTGAGAATCAACTGAATGGTATCATATTAGTTATTAATGCTATCAATTAACTGTTTTAGTTTGCTTGGCTCCACAGTCAACACTCTTGGTACCAGCAGCCAGGAACTCAAGAGATGACTTGCATTGGGAAAGTCAGCTGTGAGGGACCTCTCTAGAGTACTGAAGAGCAACGACGTCAGGCTGGAGACTAAGGTGTACTTGATCCGGGCTGTAGTCTTCACAATTTGTATGCTATGCATCAAAGAGTTGGACAGTGAATAGGGATGATAGAGAATTGATGCCTTTGGGCTGTAGTGCTGGAGAAGAGGGTTGAATATACCAAGGACTGCTAGAAGAACTAACAGGTTTGTCCTAGAGAGGGTGAAGCTGGGTTGCTCCTTGGAGGCAAGGATTCTGAAGCTTCATTTGACAAACTTTGGGCATGTTGCAAGGAGGAACTGGTCCTTGGAGAGGGATGTCATGTTTGGGAGAGTGGAGGGATAGCACAGAAGAGGGAGACCCTCTGTGAGATGGATCAATTTAGTGATTAGGGTAATGGGATTAGGTGTGCCAGAGACAGTGAGGTTGGCACAGGATAGAACAGGGTTTAGGGCTCTTATACATAGGGTCGCTATGAGTCGCAAATGACTCAACGACACATAACAACAACAACAACAATGAGGAAATTAAGTCTATTTTGAGCTGACCTGGAAAGATGCTCAGCTTTTATTGCTGTGAGATGGACAGAGTGCAGAGCGAAATGAATGTGTTGTTGTTACTCTGCCTGGCTGGGCCTGACGCTGGACATGCTCTGTTAGCACGGCTGCTGTGGGGAGGCAGAGGAGGAATCAGTCAATTGCTCTCACTCTTTTCTTTGCTTCTAGTGTTTAAATATTTCCCAAATAAGCACTGGCATTGCCCTTGAGAGGCTTAGAGTTAATTGATGAAGACCTATGAGTCAGCAGGTGATTTAGAGCACAAACCAAACAGAAGGAGATTATAGCCACTTGAGACACTTCAGTTTTCACCTCCGGAAAGCCTCCTGGTTCTCTTTTCCCACCAATGAATCTTTCTACCTGGCCACGTCTTCAAAGAAAATGTCCCTTTCTTCTCTACCGTAAACCTCACACCCTTTTTTGTTTACCCCATTTCCAGAACACACACACACACACACACTCACACACACACACACACACACACACACACAGACTTGGCTATAAGCTGGTCATGGTTTATAGTCAATTATTGGTCCCCCCTTCCCCGGGGTCCGGCTTATCTGTGTATGGTGACAAACATTAAGCTTGAGCCAACTTAGTAAACCACAAGTTTTTAAAGCTTTTGAACTATGAGTTATACTGGTTGGTGTTGCCTCCTCCTATAAGGACGTCATTCTCCTCTGTCAGCTGTTCTTTGGCTTTTTCTAAGGTGATCTGCTTCCATCTGTGGGACAGAAGACAAGTGTGTAGGGAAGAAACCGTTCACTGGGGTGAGAATCCCAGGCGTGTCACAATCCCCGCTCCCTTTTCCTCTCCCCTCTCACTCCTCACAAGTTCACATTCTGCTGTCTTCCTCTCTCTCTGAAAACCAGACCTGAATTTCTCAGCAGGGATGTGAGGCCCAGTGTGCTTCCACTTCTGCCGCTCTCTGTGACTTCATCTTCATCATTCTGACCACACTGGCTCCTTCCTCCAAAGGCCATTGCTGCCACCAGAGCCCCATCCTCCTCCTCCTCCATTCCATTTGTCATTGTTGTTGTTGTTTGTTGTTATGAGCCATCAAGTCTCTTGCAACTCATAGCGACTTTATGTACAACTCTAAACCCTGCTCTGTTCTGAGCCAACCTCATTGTCTCCGACATACCTACTCCCATTGCCCCAGTGACTGAATCAATCCATCTCATTGAGGGTCTTCCTCTCCTGCGCTGTCCCTCCACCCTCCCAATTGTCTCTCTTCAAGGACTGGTTCCTCCTTGTACCATGTCCAAAGTGTGTCAGATGGAGCTTCAGAATCCTTGCCTCCAAAGAGCAGCCTGGTTTCACTCTCTCTTGGATGAGCCTGTTTGTTCTCCTAGCAGTCCACGGTATGTTCATTACTCTTCTCCAGTACCACAGCTCAAAGGCATCAATTCTCCTTCTATCATTCCTAGTCAGTATTTTTTATATATTAAAACATTTCATTGTGATTTTAGTGGAAGTTTATCGAAAGAATGGATTTGCATTCATTCATTGATTCTCATTTTCCTTCCTCCCCTCTCCCCAGTGTATTTTGTGTTGCATGTCTTGTTCCAGATTGTTAATTGCTGTACACATACTCTCTAATCTTCTGTTCCCTTGAGGGTCCCTCCTTCTCTCATTCCAGTGTAGTGCTCATTATCTATCCGTTCTTTCCCTACCATCCTTTCTCCCGAATCCATCCTATTTTTATAACAGTGGTTCAATTTGTCTTTTTGTAACTGAGCGCACTGAGTGATATATCTCCACTCCATTTCTTGGCAAGACCAGCCCTTTCTTGCCATTCATTCCGTGTTGAACCAACACCCCCCTTTGCCTAAGACATGATGGACTCCTCCAGTCTCCTTGCCTGACTCCCTTCCTTTAGAAGTATTAGTCGCTATTAGAAATTCTCTTATTTCCTTTCTTGTGGGCCATCTGTCTACCCTACTAAAATGTAAACTCCAGGAGGGTAAGTTCTTTTGACCTTGACCGCCATGACCTCACCGCTTCCTAGGCCCCTGCCCAGCACTGAGCAGGTGGGCACTCAGGAATGCCTGGTGAATGAGTATAATAGTGGCTGCTTACTCCCCGGGGTTCTGGGGCAGTGTCCCCTGTCCGGGCCCTGGGAGAGGTCAGGCCTGAATGTCCTCTGTGGTTACAGACGGAGTCCTTCAAGCTAAGTGACCCCTACAGCCAGTGCACGGAGGACGGGAAGGATGTGCCCATCACGAACATCTACAATGCTTCCTACACCCTCCAGGTACGAGTGGTGGGGGTGCCCAGCCGGGGACTGTGGTCTGGACCTAGGAGACGAAAGTGTGTGTTAGCTGGGGCGTGGCTGGAACCAGGAACTTTTCAGGAGGCCTGGGGTTCATCCAAAGACCTCAGGAACAAATGATGCCGGCTGACTCCAGTCCTCTGTGGCCTGTCCGTAACCAGAGCTTAATTGATGCTCTGAGGTTTGCCTGGAACACAATGTACAGTCAAGACTGGGCCGCTGCTTAAATAAATGGGCACATGAGGGGCGGGAGGGAAGTATCTGGGCCTGGCGCTGCATCTGAGAGTTTGTCTTCCAGTCCCGCCTGCGCCCCTCATTTGTGGTGCATTGTGTCACCTGCCACCGTCACAGAGAGCAAGATGGTTGGAGCCAAGGATGCTAACTTCTCGGCCACAGACTTGGCTTTTCTGGCCAGCATAGTAGTTTATTTTTATTTTTTACATTATTTTTTAAATTGGTTTGTTTGCAAAGCGTATATACACCATGTTTCACCATGTTCTTCATTCACATTGCTTTTTGTACAATCATTCTCATGCATTAAGTTTTATAAAATGAATCTCTATTGGACCTTGCCCATCATTACCCTGTCTTAACACCTGGATCCTTTCCTTTTACTTGCCCCCTCCCTCTACCCACCAAACTGTGCAACCCTGTGGTTTCATCCTCACCTATCCTCACCCCTCTGCTCCCCTCTCCCCCCACCCATGAGTTCCCATACATGTTTTATTAGCCATCCTTCTCTATTTACAATAATGGTCTCATGCAGTATTTGTCCTTATAAGACTGCATTAGTTCACTCAACATCATGCTCTCCAGTCTCTCCCAAGTTACATAGTATTTTTCAAAATGGTTGCTCCTGAGTGCTGCATAGTATTCCACTGTGTGAGCCAGCATAGTATTTTAAAGTTAGGAACACTCACCAGAAAACCCAGACAGGCGAGCTCTGGTGGCCTAGTGGCAAGAAGCTACACTGCAGTCCCAGAGATGTGCGGTTCAAATCCATCAGATGCTTTGCTGGAGAAGGAGGAACAATCTCCTCCTGTACCAGTTAAATCTGATTTGACGGTACACACACACAGAGTCACACAAATAATAAAATAATTTTTTTTAAAAAATCCAGACATCTAGCTTCACTTTAAAAATAAACAAACAAATAAGATGTGATAATTTTGGGCCTGTATTCCTGCAGAATGAACAGCACGTAGAGCTGCCCCATCAAACAATTGTCCCTGGTCTGCACCACTGGACGCTGGAGGTGTTTGAGTTTCCAATTCTTCAGTCTGATCACCTGTAACGTCTCTTATGCCAGGAGTCTTGGAATCTCATTTGGGAATGGTGCTTTCTCCATTATGTTAGTGAAGGTGTAGGGTGTGTCTTTAACAAATAATTTTTGAGATATTAAAACAGTAAAACAATAGATTAGGCAACAAAGAAACAGGCATACATGATTTCAAGAAAGATAATGAGGGATTGATCCTGTTTCCACTTGTGTTTCCAGAAAGAGATGGTGCAGAAATGTGGGTGTGCCCAAAAGACCATCAGGGACTGGAGAAGGCAGGGGTGGGGGAGCTATAGAACTTGAGACAAAGAACTTTTCCCCAGAATGGACACACAGACAGAAACCTTCTTCTGGTACAGGTGTCCTGGATTGAAACATCTGGTCTTCTGAAGTGTGTGAAAATTGACTTAGTAAAGCCACACAGAAGTGTTCTATGTTACGGTAGAAGCAAAGCAACTCAGATAGCCTTTTCCCAGGATCCCCCCTCAGAAGACCAATGGCCACGATTCCAGCAGAATAAACAGACTAGGTTCCTCTCAGCACTTCATCTTCTGTCTTGTGTCGAAGCTAAGCCAAGAGGGAGTTGGGGGCCCTGGAAAGGCAGAAGCTTCTGAGCTCTTTCTTGTTTATAAGGAGACGTTCAGCCAGATTGTCTGTAAGACACACACATTCATGAGCTCACAAGATGGAAACTCCTGGCTAACATTTCATGTGAGGCCATCAAGTTCTCCTCACATAAGAGGGGTCTGGCCATGCTCATAGTAGCCACATCAAGTTGGGATGATTACACGTATTCCAAAGGCAATGAAATCAAGGCATCAGAGAAGGAAAGTAACACACCTGAGGCCACACAGCCCATAGGTGGCAAAAGTAGGACTTGAACCTTGGAAGCTTTGTAGCTATTGTGGTCAGATGTGGTAACTGCAGTCTAGTTTTGACCTTTTGGAGTTTAGGAGATATCTCTGGACCAAGTTGGCTGTGGGGTCAGCCAGGACAATGGAAGGCTCACCTTCTTGGATGGGGCCATAGAGCGCAAGCATTTGCTGGCATCTAAGTACAGAGAGGAAACTCCACTTTCTTTTTTTTTCCTTTCAGATCTGCCTCCACTCATGTTTCCAGACAAAGATGGTGGAGAAATGTGGGTGTGCCCAGTACAGCCAGCCTCTACCTAAAGGAGCCAACTACTGCAATTACCAGGAGCACCCCAACTGGAGTGAGTGGGACCCACCGTCAGCTTGTACACCCCGGGAGTGGGGTCAGCCCAGTCCAGCAACAACATGTTCTAAATGCTCCCAGGTCCCAGCACCATTGCCTTTTCTCTACCTTTCTATTGGTGGAGAGACTTTCATTTCTCCTGTCAAGCTTGCTTTGCCTATGACTCTATTGCCAGTTGGAGAGTGAATGCTGAGAGCTTGACCATCTCAGTCATCTCCAGGAAGTAGGAGCTGAGGCTCAGAATGGTCAAGTGACTCTCCCAAAGTCACACAGCCAGGAATTAACAATGGATGAAAATTCAAAGCCATGCCATTGCAAATCAACTCCAACTCATTTAAGCCATATCAAACAGACTAGAGATACCCCACTAGGTTCTCAAGGCTGTAAATCTTTATGAAAGCTGACTGATACCGTGTACTCTTGCAGAGTGGCAGGTGGCTTTGAACCACTGACCTTTCAGTTAGCAGCCAAGTGCTTTAAACCATGTGACACCATTGTTTCACAGAAGTGGGCCAAACTCAGGACTGCCTGACCCCCAAATCAGTGCTCTTAATTATTCCTATACTCTGTCTTCCAGCATCACAAAAGGAACACTGTTCTAATCTTGTTCCAATCTTGTTTATAGAGAGTGGGAGGAGATTAATGAAAATATAAGTTCATGGAGGCACCAGTGGAGCCAAGGGGACTTCTAGGAAGGGCCCGGTGACCCCAGAGCTCACACTGTCCTGTCCTTTGTCCCTCAGTGTATTGCTACTATAAACTGCAGCAGGCCTTCGTGCGGGAAGAGCTGGGCTGCCAGTCCGTGTGCCGTGAAGCCTGCAGGTGAGTGGGCAGGAGGGTGGAGGTGGGTGGGCTGGACAGAGCAGGTCACCCACACTCACTCACACCCTGCCCTCTCCCTTTAGCTTTAAGGAGTGGACGCTCACCACCAGCCTGGCTGAGTGGCCTTCTGAAGTTTCAGAGGTAAGTTCTTCTGTCTCTTGTCCACTGATGTCCTGACTGCATCCAGGTGACCCAGGGGAGAGAATGCCTCCTTACCAAGGCCATGTAGGGGGCTGGGGCTGAAGGGGATGGGCCGGCGGGCTGCTCTGGCCTCTGCAGGCATCCCCAAGGCCGCTCTTTTGTTCTCCATCACAGAAATGGCTGCTGTCCATCCTGACTTGGGACCAAGGCCAGCAAATCAACAAGAAGCTCAACAAGTAAGTTAACCTCTCCGCGGCCCCTCTGCCCGCTAAGGGTCCCAGCATGCTCGTGGCCAAGCTCTCTCTGCCTCCATTCGCTCAGTCAGTAAATATTTGTTGAATATGTACCACGAAGTAGGCCCTGCTCTGTTTGGGGCTCCTACACCTTTTTTAATTCCTTACCACAATCTATAATATGAAATACTTTCTTATGTTGTGACAGGAGCGTATCAAACCGAAAGAAACGTTTTGTGAAGCAATCCTTGCTCGTGCTGTACAGTGTGCACGCAGGCTGTTCAGAACAGTCCCCTCTGCTCTGGGCAAAGCAGTGGCTTCTTTCCATGTCAGTTGTTGTCAGTGGCTCTCAAGTCAGTTCCCGCCCCTGGAAACCTCACATGGCAGACTTTTAAGATCACACAGCTGTGTACTGTGGTGTCTCTGGGCGGGTCTGAACCGCCAACCTTTCAGTTAGTAGTTGAGCACTGAATGAATCAATGAAACAATCCAGGGACTCCTATGTCCATTTTACATGGTCATGATGTTAGGCCAAATAGTCACAAAGTAAATTTTCATTAACCACAGCCTTGGAAGCAGGAGTGGCATCACTTCGTAAACCACATGCCTCTGGAAACTCTATGAACTTTGAGAAACAACAATAGTTACAGAAAGGCTTCAGGTCTTTTGTCCATGGGGCTGCTATGAGTCGTGCTTGACTCAATCAACAACAACAACAATTCTGATTGGTTATCTCATCCATTCTGATCTTCTGGTTGGTGCTTCCAGGGTGCCAGATGATGAGTATGCCCAAAGTCATCTTGGATGTAATACGGCATTTTCTACTCTATTTGCTTTGATAAAAGACTCTGGTCATGGCCTAGTCATTTTCTTTCATGTCCCACTGAAATAATTTTCACCTGGTTTGAAAGAATTTTCACCTTTTACTCCTACTTGAATTTGATCCAGAAATTCCTTCCTAAGGAATGCTTAGCAGTCATCAGCTGGGTCGAAGTTTGGAGATCCTTAACAATTTGAGACACAAGTGATCCAGATAAGGGGATCCCCCGTATGGATGCAGTTTCACCGAGCTGCTCCTGTATTTGCAGTGCACGACACTGCGCCTTGGTTAAGCCAGTGAGAATCAGTCCACCTTCTAGTATCTTCTTAACAACCTCTGGGTTCCAGGTGCTGGATGAGGGGCTGGGGCTACAGTGACAAAGTCAGACACGGTCTCTGCCTCCATGGTGCTCTTAGCCTAGACATAAAAAGCTTTGGTCAACAATTGTAAGCCATCAGATCAAACATTGCAAACCACTGCTCTGTTAGATCAAGCCAATGTCCATCAAATACCATTATTTCCAGTTTTTCCAGAAAGATCAAGAGCTGCTAATCAAACGATTGGCAGTTTGATTCTACCTAGAGTCAGCCTTTGTAAGGCCCTTGGAGCACAGGGTCTGATATTCATATGGGGTGGGGTGGGGCTGGAGTGGGATGTGTCACCATGAGTCAGAATGAATCGAGAGCAACTGGTTTACTAGTCCTGTTAGGACACAGTTTGGTGCAGCAGTTAAAATCATGGACTCATAGGCCAGACTCTGGATTTGTGAGTGAAGAGTTAAACTGTCAGCATAAAGATAGGCGGTTCGAATCCACTAGCTGCTCTGTGAGGAAAAGATGGGCAGTCTCCTTCTGTGTGATTTATACCCTCTGAAAACCAGCCAAAGGGTCAGCTATGAGTTGCTAGCAACTCAGTGGCAATGAGTTGAGACATTAATGAACACACTAAAGGACGTTAATTCTCACTAGCAGTGTGTCCTTTAACAAAGTTCTTAACCAACCTCTGTATCTAGTTTCCACATCTGTGAGATGATAATAATGAAAACATACCTACCTCCCAGGGCACAACAGTTACCTCAAGTAACCTACAGTAAGACAGAGAGAAAAGACAAACAGAAGAAATGGAATATGTGGCTAATTGTCCCTCTAAAACACCTGTCCTCTTTGTCATGAGAGAATTGGATGGTGCCTACCATTCTTGGTCTGTAGAAGAAATTTGATCAAGAGGGGGATGTTGCAGACCAGAATTTTAAAATCTCAAGCAATTGAAGAATGGAGGAGTCACAGAGGTTGGGCAAACTCCTCCAAAACTGTTGTCCTAAAACAATCTTTCATTCTTAAACCAAAATACTCCCTGAAGTCTATTTAAAACCAGACACTAGTTAAGGTTAACTATAGATTGTCTGCCTTGAGTAGAGTCAGGCTAAAGGATCCAAATTGGCCCAGAAGGGCTGCTGTAGGCAGCTCCTTTGAGATCTATCTATATGGGATAACGTAGAACTCTGGGGGGGTATAATCTGTAGACAGTTACACTGTTTACCCAAAGGCTGCACCTCACTGGTGGTTCAAAGGCACCAGCAGCTCTAGAGCAGAAAGATGTAAATCCTTTGTGATTTATAGTCTCAGAATGAGTTGACACCTAGTTTAATTTATATGGGATCATAGTTGCTATAGCAACTCAAAAGGTTAGATAAAAACCTCAGGGGGAGTGATATGTAAATGGTGGAGGAAGAACCCAGAACCAAGGAGGTAAAAATGGTTGCACAACTCAAAGGATACAGTGTCCCTGAATTAGGCTTGAATTGATGTATTTTTGCTGTGTCTGTTCTTAACAATAACAAAAAATCCTTACACAAACAAAAGACTTGTGAGAGTAGAGTGAGTTAATCCACACCAAGTTCTTAGGATGGTGCTTGGCAACACAAGCTGCATAGTAAATGCTCACTGCTGGTGTTGTGATCATCATTCTTGTTTAATGCCCAGCCTGTCTCCTGTAGGGACATGAGATTGCTATTTCTGAATGAAACAGTAGCAAATGCCAAATAAAGAGGAGGGTGCTGGGGGGAGTGTAATTGGGTGGAATGGTTGAATGGAGGTAGGAAGAGGTTTCTGAGTGAGTGAATGACCAGAGTAGTCGGCCTAGCCTGGAGATGTCTTCTAGGGGACAGAAGGAGCCTTGAGGGCTAGATTCTGAGACCCCTGGGAAACTCTAAGTCTGGGGGATACTAGTGTCTTGCCAGGAAGGCAAAGCAGCCTATCACCTGGGTAGATACCAAGGATACAGACTCATTTGGGCTCCTGTTGGAATTTCTGTAGGACCGACTTGGCCAAACTCCTGATCTTCTACAAAGACCTGAACCACAGATCTGTTGTGGAGAACCCAGACAACACAGTAAGTAGCTTCTTTCTGAGTCTGCCCCGTGCCCAGCAGCCTGGCCTTGGAAGCAGAGTCAGGGGATGGGATTCAGATTACCCAGCAGGGCTGCTGTAGGAGGTGGCTCTCAGATCAGGGTCAATGGAGGAACCAAGGGGGAGGGGGCGCGGGAACTTGCCACTTCCTCCAAAGATGCTTGTGAATGCCTTGGGAGTCAGGGTCCCCTTTTGATGGTGTGGCTTGGCCTCACTTGCAGATCCCGAACCTCCTGTCGAATTTCGGCGGCCAGCTGGGCCTGTGGATGAGCTGCTCTGTCGTCTGTGTCATTGAGATCTTCGAAGTCTTCTTCATAGACTCCCTCTCGATCATAACCCGTCGCAAGTGGCAGAAAGCCAAAGAGTGGTGGGCCCGGAGGCACCCCCCTGCCAATCCCCAAGTACCCCGAAGCTCCCGGGGCCAGGACAATATGGCCCTGGAGGTAGAAGAAGACCCACCCACCTTCACCTCAGCTTTGAGCCTACCGCCAGGCCCAGGGACCCAGGTACCAGGCACACCGCCCCCCAGATACAACACCTTGCGCTTAGAGAAGGCCTTCACCAGCCAGCTCAGCGACACCCAGGTGCAGGATGAGTCCTGAGGCAGGGCTGGGAGGAACGATATAGTCAGAACCAGCCAGCATGGTCTGTCTACTAAGGCCCAGTCTCTGGACACAGAGGGGGACTCTGGGAGCCCCGTCTGCACTTTTTCTGAGACACTGACTGAAAGAACGCCTCCTTTGAACAAGACCAGGCCTGACCATGTGCAGGGCAGCCCTCAGACCCTGCCCAGAAACAGGCACAGCAGTGCAAGTGTGTCACGTCCGAGCCCACAACTGTGCACACTTGCATGGGAGGAGACTGAAGGTGGAAGAAATGGAGCCTGCCGGGCAAAAGTGAGACCCTGCAGAGTTCTCCGGGGGACCTGAGAAAAAAAAGTCACCCCCAAAAACATACATCATGTGAACCTGTGGTCTTAGCATCCAGGCTGAACAGCGAGACAGAAGCAGCCACCACTCCAGCTGTTGTGAATAAACTTTTCGAAGCTGTTGACTCTGAGGCCAGTCTTTGTGCCTTCGGGCTGGGAGCTGGCCAGGGACCTTGGAGACTGTGGGGGTGGGGTGGATGAGGGAAGGGATGGAGGGTCGAGGTGTGGCTTGATGTCCTCGTTGTTTTGTGATGAGAGCCAAGGAGAGGGAGATGTTCTGGGCAGTAAGGCCGCATTCAGGCTCCTTACCTCCAGCAGGGAAGGGCATTGACCATTTAAAGGACAGAAGTGGAATCTTTGTTCAGTGATAGCTCAGACAAAGCGTTATCTCCATAGCCTACCATCAACTGCCCTTTCTAGCAACCTATCCTGAATGTAACAAGTCCATCACTCTATGCAGGCCACCTCCCACACCAATGACCGGCCCCACGGCCACATGGCATCCTGCTTCAGCTTCATCTCGCATTCAAGCCTTCTAGTGGGGTAGTCGACTCCTGGGTGATGCTCTTCACGTCCTCACTGCTAATAAGAGGGGCAGACACCTCAGGAGAGAGCGCACAGTGTGCTCACGGTCTCACAACAGCATGCTGCCCACTCACGTTGATCCTATAGGCCGCATCTATGCCATTTGTGAGCCAAGATTAGTTAGTGCGCCCTTTCCAGAAAAAGTTTAGGGACTTGGATTAATACATTACTTGCATTAGTACGTCTCATTTTATGCCTGAAGAAACTGAGGTGCAGAGAGGTTAAATTTCTTGTCCAAGTTGGCCACAGCCCGGAAGTAGCAGAGCTGGGATTTGAACCCAGGTACTCTGACTCCAGCATCTGTGTACTGTGCCATTTTGTGTCCACTCAGTGTTTGTGCTTTTTTTTTTTTTTGAGGTAAGGGTCTGGTGGCCTAGTGGGTAAGGAATTGCGCTGCCAACCCAAAGGCAAGTGGTTCAAATCTATCAGCTGTTGTGCAGGAGAAAGATGGCTGTTCTCCTTTGCATGTGATTTAAAGTCTGAAAACCTGTGGAGGGTCGACAGCAATGAATTGAGTGTGTTGAGTTGATAGCAGTTTGAGCGGGAAGAGAGGGAGACACAGCACCCAGGCCTTAGACCAGAAGATGTAGTTTGGACCCAAGGGCTTCTGGTCTACTCCAAGCCCAGGCTTGTGGCCAGGAGCTCCACTGGACCTGATGGGATAGAACAGGACTAGCAGATCTGCCAGCCCCGCATGGTGGAGGTCATCATGGCCCCAAGCTGGCCAAGGTTCCCCTGAGAAGTGCACCCAGAAATCAGGGTTGATGAGTCAGAAGGTTATGGAAGGTGTGAGCCTGAGTGCTTGCCCACAGCGGTCATTCAGGTGACCAGTGTCAGTGCAGACAGGAAACGTGTAGTGGATGCCTGCCCAGGACCACTGCCCAGAGAGGAGCTTCCTCCACTTCTACGTGGCTACAGGGATGGGGGCTATGCCTAATGGTTCATGGAATCGCTCACCACAGTGACATCCTCACCAGGCACACTGCGAGCAGGTGTTGAGTTGCTGGGCTCCTCAAAGTTGAGGCCACTCCATACAGACACCCCATGTCTCCTGCCATTCCCATCCCTGCCCGGCCATCAGCCTTGGGGCTGTACTCCTGCTGTGCCAGAATCTGCCTTCTTGCTTTCTTCATGTCCTTCCAGGCCAAGCACAAGTCTCCCCATTTCCTAACATCTTCTCTGATCTTTTTCCTCACCCCCCAGAAAGTTGGAGCATCCCCTGTCATAGAACTTTCACTCCAGATAGAATTCCTTATCTGTACAACTGTTTCTGTCATTAGACTGTGAGCTCTCTGAGGGCAGGAATTATGTCTTATCTCTTTATCCCCACATTGGGGAAAATATTTGCAATGAGTACAGTACTGGCACTTAGGAAATTTCTTGAGCCAGCAGCAGCAACAACAATAAGTAATAAATAATGACTAGTATTTATTACATGTTTATGATTTGACTGAAATTCTGTTATGTTTCTGACATTTATCCATTATTTAATTTCATGATAAGGTACATTATTATTATTATGGCGAAAATGTACACACAAAAACAATTGCCAATATGATTTTCCCATTGAAAATTTAATGACATAGATGCCTTTTTTATTTTGTGCCACCCATTCCTAAAACTCTATAATAAAACTTTCCCAAAAGCTTGTTGTTGACACCAACTCAATCTATCTCAAACTCCCCCCCCCACCTCTGAAAGTCATCAGCAGTCTTTAATTTCTGTGTATTCTTCTTCTATAAATGGGGTTATACAGTGTTTGTCATTTTGTGACTTACTTGGCACCATTTTGAAACTTCAGTGATGTTGTGTATGCAGCAGGAATCTGTTTCTCTTCACAGCTGCATACTATTCCATTGCATGAAAGTACCACATTTTGTTTATCCATTCATCTGTGCATGGATGTCTCAGTTCTCTTTGCCCATGGAAAGTGATGCAGGGAACACTGGTATACAGAGATACCTCAGAGATATTATGGAGTCAATTCCACTTCACTGAACAATAAAATAAGTATCACAATAAAGCAGACCTCACAGTTCTTTTGGTTTCCTAGCTCTGGTGTCTTAGTGGTAAGAAGCTGCGCTGCAATCCCCAAGGCGTGTGGTTTGAGTCCACCAGCAGTTCCACGGGAGAAGGATGGGCAATCCCCTTTCATGCAATTGACTGCCTCTGAAAATTCACTAGAGGGTCAGCGATGGGTTGGTTCTGGCTCAACACGGCACACAACAACAACAACAGTGCATATGAAAGTAATGTTTATACTATGCTGTAGATCACGGTGGCCTAGTGGTAAGAAGTTGTCCTCCAATACCAAAGGTACGTGGTTCAAATCCACCCACTGCTCTGCAGGAGGATGGGCAATCTCTTCCCGTGTGTTTTACTGTCTCTGACAAACTGCTGGAGGGTCAGTTATGGGTCGATTCTCACTTGACTGACCTGCAACAACAGCATTAAGTGTGAAATGTTGCCACTGAGTTGGAACTGAACATAGCTGACCCTCCAGTGGCTTTTCAGGGGCAGTAAACCCCGTGGGAGGAGATTGCCCATCTTTCTCCTGCTGTGCAGCTGGTGGGTTCGAACAGCTCACTTTGGGTGGCAGCACAACGTTGTACACACTAGGCCACAAGAGCGTGAAACGGCATATGAAGAAGTTTGAAATACTGCAAGAATTGTCAAAAAGTGAAATAGAAACTTGACGTGAGCACATGCTATTGGGAAAATGGTGCCAATAAACTGGTTCAACATAAGGTTACCACAAACCTTAAATTTGTAAAAAATAAATACACAACCCCAAACCCAAACTCTTTGAAGTGCAATGAGGCATCCCTGTGTAGGTGTCTGTCACTGCCTTCATTTCCTCTGGGCCTGTACCTCAAGTCCTCCTGCAGGCAAAAAGGTGGAGGAACAGGTACAGCTGCCAGCACCTGGGTGTTAAACCACCGTGCAAACTGCCTTTAGGACCGAAGCAAGAGCGAAGGGCCTTTTTCCAAAGTGCCATCTCTTTCTGCTCCTGAGAGATCTCTCTACCTTCAGGCCCAGCTCATTCACCCAGGGGAACTTCCTGCCCCAAGTCAGATGAGGGACCAGGAATCCGCCCTCCGAGGATCTGAGGATCTGTCACTGGAGCACGAGCACAGTGACTCAGTTGTAGATGACTCTCCTTCCACTCCAGGTTCTATTCCCAGAGAGCGTACGCGCCTCCTGCACAACCTCCACCCCTCTGTCAGTGGAGGCGTGTGTGTTATGGTGTCAAACAGGTTTCCGCGGAAATTCCAGACTAAGATGTTCTTAGAGAAACAGAGCCAGTTTGTTATTTTTCTTTGGTTTAAGAGACAGTGAAAGAGAGAGGGGGAGGGAGGGAGGAGAGGGAGAAGGTGAGAGGGAGAAACTGGAAAATGCAATTGTGGTGCCTAATAGTTCTAGGGCAATGGAGGTAGGTGGATTGGAGTCAGTGAGACTGGCTCAGGACAGGGCAGGCTTCAGAGTTGTTGTACATAGGGTCACTAGGAGTCGCACATAACAATAGTAGTTAGAAATTCATCAGCCAGACAGCAACAGATTGGAGACCCTCTTGCTTTCAGGGCTGTGCGGGCTGACAAGTCCAACATCTGCAGGTAGGTGGGCAGGTTGGAGATTTCTGCAGGCTTGTGTCTCAAGTTCAAGTCAGGAGACAGGACCAGTGCAAACTAGAACAGACTAGGAAGAAAGGTCTTCTTCCAAGACCGACTGGGAACCACTTGGTTCCATAGTGCATGGGGCACCCATGAGTTGGGAGGGTGATTCTTTGAGCAAACACCAACACCAACAACAGCAAATGAAGCTCCTGGGCTGGGAACAGAACCTGCGGAGTCAAAACAGAGAGAATGACTTTGCTCTGAGACCACCATAGCCTGGAGTTGCTGACTCCAGGAACAACGACATTGCTTGTCCTAAATCACCAAGCATATAAAATCTTGTTGTTGTTGTTGTTGTTGTGTACCATCAAGTCAAAACAGACTCATAACTAACCCTCCAGCGGGTTTTCAGAGGCACTTAATGACATGGAAGGAGATTGGCCATCTTTCTATCAAGGATTTGAACCTAGAGCTT